TTGAGATGTCGAAAAAGTGCACGCCGTTGTGGCGCGAAGCACATTTCCAAGTCAAAATGTACAAAACACCTCAGCTTCGGACCACGTTTGGAAGTTGAGATGTCGAAAAAGTGCACGCCGTTGTGGCGCGAAGCACATTTCCAAGTCACAATGGTACAAAGCAACCTCAGTTCCGGGACGCACTTTTGGAAGTTGAGATGTTGAAAAAGTGCACGTCGTTGTGGCGCGAAGCACATTTCCAAGTCAAAATGTACAAAGCACACCATGCTCGGACCACTTTTGGAGGTTCAGATGTCGAAAAAGTGTACGCCATTGTGGCGCGAAGCACATTTCCAAGTCAAAATGTACAAAGCACCTCAGCTCCGGACCACTTTTGGAAATAGATAGATAGATAGATAGATAGATAGGGTAATTGAAGGAAAGAGAGAGAGAGATAGATAGATAGATCGATAGATAGATAGATAGACACATAGAAAATAGATAGGTAGGTAGGTAGATAGTCAGAGAAAGAGAGCGAAAGAAAGGAGACCTCAAGCACCTTTCGGTCCATCAGTGGCTTCGCTCTGCCATCCCTGATTCACAACAACCAACCTCTCCTATAGGTTTCCTATTTTTGAAACTTCCGCCACCGCCTTGTGCGGTACTACTGGTATAACATATGATGAAGCGGCGGCGAAGTTTTACGTCTATTCAGACGTTTCACACACACACACACACCCTGCCAAAGGCAGGGTGGTTTGCATGCAGTGAAGTGGAGATGAGGATGAAAAGGGGAATGAAGATGAGGTGAAAGTGAAAATTAAATGAAAGATTACCTGACGGGGACACGAGGAGGGGAACGCAAAAGAAGAGGGAAGGAGCAAACACCCACACCAACACACCCAGAGCGGGCAAACCCTGAAAGGGCAAGGGAAAAGAAAAGCGGAGGCCGACGGACACGCAACAAGACGAGTGGATGGGGGGGAAGGACGGAAGCGCCTGACCCAACCTACCACAGCGAAACCTACGCCTACCTAGGCACGCACAGGACCCAACCTACCTGGGGAGGGAAGAACGCATGAAATAGGGGACCGAATGGGTGACTAGTTAGTGACCAGAACCGAAGCAACAAAAAAACATATTTTAATGGGATTCAGTTCAATCCTACAAGTTCGTGCGTTATTCCCTCAAATGGGAGCGTAGTCGATCAGGCCACATGGGCATTAAACAGCTGTTCAAGTTCAAATTCATTAGGTGCACAACATGTTGGACCTCACCAGAAACCAAAGTGACCATACCTGCAGAAAGAGGACATGCCTTCAGCCTTCAGTAGCTTTGTTCGTGTTTCACAGCGACAAGCTTGAGCAGCAGCAATAAACGCAGTTTCTGGTTTTCCGGAACGGTTTCAGTCAGAAAGAAATGAAGCTCCAAGGGTTCACCAGCGCAACAGGAGCAGCAGGACATCGAAAAGGGTGCATAACCGAAAGGCCAGCTGTTTCACTCTACTTAGACGAATTACTGGATTAAAAATGTCAATTCGTAAGTCTGTCAACATTCACCCTGAAAAGGGTTCCCTCAAGTGGGTGAATGGCACCATGTCGGAGCCACCCTGGAAATCACACTAGACAAGAACTGGATAATTGAAGTGATCCGTTGGGAATTGAATCCGGCATTGAATCCCATCACATGCAATTAGATTAGATGTATATATATATATGTAAATATGTATGGGACATGGCGGCTGCGACTTAAATGCGCCCAGGTGCACCACCAAAGCCCAGCAGGTACGTTTACAAGGGTCCCGGGTGTCTTCGCTGATCACCGTGATCACCGACCCACCCCGGGACCCTGGTGATCCCCTGCTGTAATAAAATATTTTCTATATATATATATAACTTATATAACATATAATGAAGCGGCGGCGAAGTTTTACGTCTATTCAGACATTTCACACACACAAACATGCAAAGGCAATCGCGCATCTAAATTCAAAATCGGTACCTCCTCATGAGCCAGTGCATTTTGGGGGGGTTGATAAAAGTGATCATGTTTCAAAGGGTTAGAGCCAAGTTAGAGCGAGAGAGAAATTGCGGCGCATGTTTCTTCTCTGACCTTTGGCTTTCAACTGTGTAAATTCGAGCGGTCTTGTTGCTCAGATTGCTTTCAGTGGTATTTTTCCATTTTCATTTTCAAGATCGGTTCGACGCGCGCCATCTCCTGGCATGTGACAAATAAAAGACGTGATGCTTTGCAAAGCGTCAGTTGCGTGTTGAACCTTGAATGAACGCTGTAGCCCCGCCCCAATCCCAGTTGCGCGCACAACTTTAACCCCCGGCCGCCCAAGCCGCCGTTTGAACATCGTGTGTGCGTGTAATTGCATGTGAGCATGATTGCCAAACCCCACCCCACCCCCACTTGTTGAGGCGGCGTACGCTAAAGGTGCGGTTCACCCAACGTAGGCATAGATGCCGTAAGTGGTTTGTTTTGAAAAGAGAGAAGTCACCCGCATCGTCATCCTCATCCCCATCCTCATTCTCACTCCCATGCCCGTACTCATTCTCATTTGATTCTCGTCGTCCTCATCGTCCTCGTCGTCCTCGTCCTCCTCGTCCTCCTCGGCGACCACCACCACCACCAGCAGCAGCAGCAGCGGCGGCAGCAGCAGCAGCCACGTATGTGCTGTAGAGTACCCATGTTTGGTCAACCACATGCTACAATATTTGCTTCCCCCAATCCATCCTCCATTCCGTTCTTATTAACCTTATTATTGGTGCCAGCAGTACCCTATTGTTGCGTGCTAAGGGCTGCTGCTGCCTGCACTACCCTTCTCCAACAAACTTCAAACTTTCCGAAACGTCGGGAGGTTCTCAGAAGTTTTCGGACACAGAAATACAACCCATCGCAGAACCTCGTTTTCAACAACAAGGGTAGAATATGGTAGAACGATGCAGAAAACGCACACAGGGGAGGCCAGCACGTGCAAAGCGTTTGTCTATGACTTTATCCTTAGACAATGACGAACCCTGGGTGAACAGGTCAGAAGAACTTGGATCTGATTCAGTCTACATCGACGGCATGGGGCAGATCAACCAAAGGCACTGCGATGTCAAGGCCAGACTAAGAGCTGGAAGGTGCACTGCTTCGTGCTGTGCTTGACTGTGTTCCAAGACCATCAACGAGAAGAACAATTGCGTTTACTATGTGGCTGTCAAGGGCGTCTCTCCTTCTGTCACGCTCTGAGTGCACTTTGGTGGAATATCATTAATAATTTTTTAGAAGGCAGAAATAATCAATATGAAAGCATGTATATGCTTGTGGGAATGCAAAGAAAAGGTTGCAGAGTGGACAAGCCCAAACAAGCAAGACAATGGGTGGACTTTTTGGTTATTGACCTATGTGCAGACCCATCCGGCCCGTAAGGCTTTCACACTCCTTGCAACTGTCCCTTCACTGCCAGTGCCATTGCCTCTGCAAGCAGCTCAGCATTGCAAATGGTTTTTTGGTGCCATTTGCTCCTCCAAGAGTGTAGCTTTTATATATGTATATATATACATACATATCAAGCATGGAAGTAAATCCCAAAGTGAAAACTACGAGACACAAACGATTGCTTTGCTTCACTACCCACCGTAGCGCTCCGCCGTCCTTGCCAAAAAATGCTTCTTTGCTTCCCCAGTTTTGCTTGCGCCCTGTCTGTAGCGCAACCTCTTCTCCAACGAACCTTCTGGCCCCTTTTGCTGTTTGAATGTAGTTTGTTGATGTACTCGTTAACGCCTGTCACGGCTGAGTGGATGGATTCACAAACTGATCGCTAGCTGCGAAAGCCTTGTTTGTGAACAATGCGCAGCATGAATGACCCAATTTTGGCAATGTTTTGCTTGGTTCATGCATGTAAAGATTCGGTCAAATCAACACCAATCAATATGCTTACCTCTCAAGCTTTTGTTTTTTCTTAAATCTCTCTCTCCCTCTCTCTGTGTGAGCGTCTTTTTTTCATGCTGGCCTTGCCGTTCGTTGGGATTCCATGCAATTCCTGCCATGCATGCAGGTCGCAGATTGTGAAAGTCACTCTACCACCAGGCTCATGACCTGTCCCCAAAGCAAGAAGACTTATTCCTGACCCGCAAAGTTCAGCAAAGTGTATTCGTACAAGTTCAGGGACCGAAGACATGTTTTGCAAGCTAATAAACAAGACACACATGAAGCATGATAGTTGCGTGCAAATTTTGTGTCTACGGAGCGGTGGGGTGGTGTAATTCATTGTAAAACATGTATTCACCCTTTTGCATGTGACGAGGTGGCGCTCAGTACTTTTTGACTCCTGTGGACCTACTGGAAATGCCGACTGCGTTGGAGGCTTCGACGACACGACGTCATTATCACATAGTTTAAACTGTAGAAGAGTCGTGTCGTCAAAGTAGCAGACATCAGGACTCTGAGCACTGTGCCAATCTTTTAAGTCATAGGTTTTGCTTGGTTCTTCCCTGCCAGCAGCCATATGTTTCTGTTTTGCTCTGTTTTATTTCCGTTGTCGGAATCAGACCTCATTCACCAGGCACTTTCAGGCAGTGCAGTTCTTGAATTCAACTCTTGATTTTCACTCTTGACTTTGCCTTGCTTCAAATCTCCCTTGCATTTTTCTCAATGTCGAGGCTATGAACCTCTGCCTCTGTCAGACCGGGAAAAAAACACCGCAAAATTGAGGTAAGAACGATAAGAGCACACCTTTTCAGCAGAGAATTGGCAGACTTGGAATTCCTTGGTCAGAAGGTTGCCAGAAGCAAATGTCAAAGTTAAAAGATGTTAAAAGAAGAATAAAGAAATTTGCGTTTACTCTTTCATCTTTTTCACAGAAGAGCACAGCTCTACACTCGCAGCATGGCTGGTGACGAGAGCTCCAGGGAACGAGCCTTGAGCGCGGTCGGATTCCTGCTGCTCGTTTTTGGCTTGGCAGCTGTTCTACAGTGCTGGGGCTTCCTCCACGTGACCAACGCAAACGCAGCTGTTACACAAACAGCTGGGCACAAGGTCCCCAGTGTTCCTCTCATTACTGATAGCGAGGGAAGCTCGGTCACAGACGCTCAGGAGACACACGCTCATGAGACACACGCAAAGCATGTCAGTGCAACCAGTGCTGAGATTCACAAGATGATGGCAGACTATCAAGATGAGAAGGAGAAAGTTAAGAGTGGGTATGGCTCAATAATCGAGGCTCATGATACGTTGACTAAGTTGCTCTCAAAAGAACCAAAGATTGCCAAGTGTCATCCGCCGCGACTTCATATGCTGGATAAATGTGTTTGCCCTGCGGGGTCGAATTGGGATGGCAGTGCCTGCACACAGACGCTTGGTGAGATGTTCTTTTACATGTACCGCGCACAGAGCGATCACAATTATGCCATGGGCAACGTGGATATGGCAGATTTGGCTGGGGTGATGTACTACCTCCATCATGAGATTGTCAAAAACAACGCAGCACCTGGGGTCCGAATGAATGGCATCACCAGAATCTTGCGCTTTTTGGTGTCCATGCGGCCTTCCCCGGAACTTGCAAGCCAAATGAAAATCTTCATGCCTTTTGTTGCTTTTGACGAAGGGAGATGTTCGGTCCCTGGATGCAACAAATTGTGGGACCATTACGGGTTTGCAGTTGGATGCCAGAAACAAGGTGCCTCCACTGGCTTCGCATACTCATCTTCGCAGGACTCGTCGGGAGCTTGGTTCTCCTTGCCTGGAGCCTGTCCAGCTCTCTCAGTTGGCGACAAGGACAGGAGCCGTTGGAGACATCCGAGAGGGGCCGTGAAGATAACTGGCTAGATCCTCTTAGTGTAGGGACTGAAAATGGTCTCGTTTCCCCTAACATCCCCTAACTAGAGGCTACAGGCATCAAGTCGCAAATCACTACCTAGCAAGGCGAGAATCAAGGAGGTGTGTTTTCACGTTCAAGCTCTTGATTCGAGGTCTTCAAGCTCCCTCGTGCCATTCATCGATGCATGGCTTACTATTTCTCAATAGGGTGTTTTGCTGACTGAACCACAGGAACTCCAAGAGTATTGAAGACCACTGAATGAGGGTTTTTTTCCATTCTCACCATAGAGGACCGTGGATGCATGCAGAAGTATCCTGGCGGAGGATGCAGCGATCTTTCTGTGTCCCCTACTTGTACATACAGCATCAAATATGCGGGAGAGATATTTCTGGATGAGCTTGCAGGAATCCAAGACTTTGCCAAATGGCAGCGCCAAGGAAATCTTGAATACGACGAGGTCAAAGACAGAGGTGTTGGAACATCATTTTGGGACTTTCGTGGTAGTGCTGCCTGGTGTACAAGGCGTATGCATCGCGTCAGGAGTTTGCTAAAAGCCAAATATCCTTTGCTCCCAGAAGACCTTCCTGCACCTTCATGCTTCTGATGCTTCTGACGCCTCTGCTGATGCTCCTCGTACAGACAAATCAAATGTACAGGCATGCTTGTAGGTTTTAAGTTTCACCCACTAACTGCAAAGCCCAGTCACTTAGTTAGCCACGAAAGCTTAGCTTTCAATCCAACACTTCGAGTCCCAGCAAATGGCGCTATTTAATTTGAGTGGAAACGGTGCGCGACGTTTAGGCCCTTTGTGCCCCTTGTATTGCAGCAATTAACAAGTCACAATCTTCATTTCAATATCCAAAAGCACGAAGACTTCTTTGCGCATAGCTTCTGGAGGAATTTCAGCATTTGCAGGTAGCCTGCTCTGGAGCATTGAACAACGTGACCATTAAGGCGTAAGATTGCTGTGTATGGCAAAGCCATGCAGTCATGGGGTTCGTGCTGTGTATCAGATAAGGCCTATCTTAACTATATTCCATCATGATGCAACCATGATCCAATCATGGTGACAGATGGGGACGGGTGATTCTTTCACATCTTCTTTTTCCAGCTTCTTTCCTCGATCGGCTTCAATCCACCGTGACGCGGATCACTTCGAAAGCTTTGTGGCAAAAAGACAGTCTTCTTAAGGCAACATCTCACATATTGTCATATTGCATGCCATTCTTGCCAAATTCTTGCCCTGCTTTGCGCAGCCTCAGGAGCCCATCGCAAGCTTGGACCAAATTGGGCCATTCCACCATACTTCCATCCACGTCACCAGACTTCACCTTATGTAAGCATTCACAGCAATGATACACGTGTTGGACCAATTCTTGCGCCTCCCAAAGCCAGTGTCTGAATTGCAGCCTCCGAATGAATAGTCTTGTTTGTCAGCCCACCTTTCGTTTCTGTATAGGCAAGAAGCCCATACATAATATTGAGCTGTTTTGTACCTACTTTAAGCATCTTTAAGATTGCAACAAATGCCAGAAAAGCATGACATGTTTGGCCTGCATATGTAGGGCAGTCAACGCGATCTCAAGACCGTACGCGGTGTCTAGACCAAAGGTACACTGCTTGCAATCAATGTCTCTTCAATTCCCAACAAGTGAAAAGCTCGTTCAGTGCATGTGGCTTGGTGTTAGCCTAGACATGTCTAGTGTCTATACTACCTATACCGTCTACAACCTACTCTACCACTATGCCGAAATATGGCGGGCCCCATTCCGTTCAAATGCAAATCCTTCAAAATGTTGCGAACTTGTAAAGGTGGTGCCTTCGGCAGAGGCCAAGCACCTCTACACCAGGGAAATGCCAAAGGCAGCAGATTCAATCGGTTGCAATTTGTACTGTTTACATTGATTGAACTATCGTGAAGTTGTTTTTGCACCTGATACCTGATGTCAGTTAAGTTCGGAATGTTTCCCCAGGCAGATTTGAGTGCATCCTTCTTTGCAGGAGTGGGGATGTCAGTTTTCTTGGTGAAGGCAAATGGTATCAGAGGGTATGGAACAGTACTCGAGTTACTCGAGCGCTCACGTAAGGGCGTGTGACGGTGTGTGCCTTGCAGCAAATTTTGTCTGCAAGTACAGCAAGGTCTGGAGCCTTGACCTTGCGCCTGAGAGGTTCGCTCCAATCTTGTTTGGAAGTTTGGCAAGACCTTGGTTATCCTGGGTTAATGCTTCGACCACCTTTGTCATCTTTGACCATCTTTGACCATCTTGTCATGATCTTCACGCGACAGCTTCACTGCACCCGACCAGGTTGAAGCCGTTCTGCAAGGACAATTGCACAGTTCTTTCCATGTTGAAAGCCAGCTCCGTGCTGATCTTGGGCGACAGCCTATTTGGAGTAACATGCAACATCATGTAACAACCTCGTAGCAACCATTTGCTTGAAGTGTGGATGGCAAGCGCTGAGTTCCAAGCTGGATTTTGAGGTGCAGTCTGTGTGCGCTTTATCCTTGCAAGAGTCAAGGCCCAGTCACAAGGGCAACTCAAAGCGGGATTCGACACAAGCTTCCAGGCATTGACTGTCCAAGAGCACCAGAGAGCAGCAATTCTTTTCCCAAATCAAGCGATCTTTTGTGACTTTGCCTTGCCGGTACACTGTTTGCAGCCTCGCTTCATTGCCAGGCCTGGCAGAAATGCATCGGGTCTTTGTCAGCCGCTTGAGGCGGGCCACAGGAGGGACCTTGAAGTATGACAAACAGGCAGAGACTTGTATGCGAGCAGCGAGCAGCTCATATATCTTTCTTGGATGTCTGAAGGTATATTTTGTATCCGAGGTCACAAAACCTAGCTTCAGCTAACATGAGTTCTTCCCCACATCTTTGTGTGGGATTCTTGTTTTTGGTGACACGTATTTCTACAACCGTGTAGGCGTTGCGATTTTCGTGGTCACCGCACATGGAAAGTATATGATTGGGGGGGTGGGGGGAGGTGGGGTGGGGTGGGATAATAGCGTCCATGTACGCTTGCGGAACTAGTTGATGCTACGTTGATGGAATGTTCTTGCGCACTGGCAGCTCTACGCTGTGCTACGTTGTTGGCACGGGTGGGGGGTGGGGTGGGGTGGGATAATAGCGTCCATGTACGCTTGCGGAACTAGTTGATGCTACGTTGATGGAATGTTACCAAAAGCATGGTGGTGAAGTCCGTGGTCCACATGCGTAGTGAATGGACTCGGAAGGTGCGAGTGCGGGGAAGAAAGAAAGTTTCAGGAACCCAACAAATTGATCGTTGCTGGCAACATCTCAAAAAACTTTGCCCCAGTCAAATGAAGAACGGCACTGGCCCAACAATCAATGCTAGATTCTGGGATAGAATCTATCAATGGATCTATCGCCACAAACATGTCCAAGTGAGACATAGCGAGCAGATGCGAGATGAAAAAAAAGCTTCTGCAAACTTTTCGTCGTCTCTTGACGAAATTGCTGATTTGAAAAATGACAAAACGTGAGTCGTTTTGACATGTTGATGTCAAAAACACACGGTCGTGTAAATCCGTGCTACCCTATATGGTTGTCATCTCCCGCATGCCTCCTGCTTCCTCCTCCTCCTCCTTCTCCTCCCGCCGCCTCCTCCGACACAATGTACTCACACACAACTTACTCACACACAACTTACTCACACACAACTTACTCACACACAACTTACTCCCACACAACTTACTCCCACACAACTTACTCACACACACACACAAATTACTCGCACAACATACTCACACATAGCTTACTCGCACAAGTTACTCACACCCAACATACTCACACACAACTATCACACACACACAACATACTCACACATCACTTATTCACACACAACTTGCCCACACGCAACTTACTCACACACACACAACTTACTCACACAAAACTTACTCAGACACACACACACACAACTTACTCACACACAACTTACTCACACAAAACTTACTCACACAAAACTTACTCACACACAACTTGCACACAACTTACACACAACTTACACACAACTTACACACACAATTTACACACAACTTACACTTACACTTACACTTACACTTACACACACACACTAGATAAGAATGGATCATTGTATTGATCCGGCAGGAACTGAATCCTGTAACATGCAAATTAGATGAGAAGCAGGTACGTCACCAGGCGTCCCTGGTGATATCCTAGGATCATATGAGGAGCTTCGTTGGATGGAGCCTCATATGTCTTCTCCATCCCCCTGCATTATTTAAAAAGGGAGAAGAGGGAAGAAAAAAGAAGGAAGTTTTACATCTATCCAGATGTTACACACACAGACACACACACACACAGACACACAGACACACAGACACACAGACACACAGACACACAGACACACAGACACACAGACACACAGACACACAGACACACACACACCACACACACACACCACACACACACACAACACACACACACACAACACACACACACACAACACACACACACAACACACACACACACCCGCGCGCGCGCGCGCGACATACTCACACATAACTAGCACTTGGCGATATCGACGTGAATTCTGCGTGGCAGGCGTGGCACTTATGGCATTGGGTTGGCTCTGGTTCCGCCCTTGGTTCCCGGTGACGCCGCTCGCTTTGTGTGGCAGGCGTGGCACTTGGTGATCTGTGTGGCTTGGCACTTGCCGGCATCGACCTTAACTGTGTGAGGCAGGCGTGGCACTTGGTGACATCGACGTGCCATCTGCGTGGCAAGCGTGGCACTTATGGCACTGGGAGCCAGGCTCCACGTGGCAGGCGTGGCCATTGGTGCCATACGCAATTTGCATCGCAGGCGTGGCACTTATGGCACTGGGTGGGCTCCGGTGCCGCCCTTGGTTCCCGGTGACGCCGCTCCAATTTGTGTGGCAGGCGTGGCACTTGACATCGACGTGCAATCTGCGTGGCGGGCGTGGCACTTATGGCACTGGGCTGGCTCTTGCCAGCCTAAGAGATCATTAATTAACTCACATTCTCACTAGCCCTAAGATCATTGTGTCCAGCTGGCACCTGGGTTAAGAGATCATTAACACAAAATTTTCACTAGCCCAAAGATCATTGTGTCCAGTTGGCAGGTGCCTTAAGAGATCGTTAACTCACATTCTCACCAGCCCAAAGATCATTGTGTCCAGTTGGCACCTGCGTTAAGACATCATGAAGTCACATTCTCACTAGCCCAAAGATCATTGTGTCCAGCTGGCATGCGCCTTAAGAAATCATGAAGTCACATTCTGATTAGCCCAAAGATCACTGTGACCAGTTGGCATGTGCCTCAAGAGATCATGAAGTCACATTCTCACTAGCCCAAAGATCATAAAGTCACATTCTCACTAGCCCAAAGATCATTGTGTCCAGTTGGCATGTGCCTCAAGGGATCATGAAGTCACCTTCTCACTTGCCCAAAGATCATTGTGTCCATTTGTCTCCAGTTGGCATGTGCCGTAGAGGTAGTAGAGGCAGTATACAGGTAGTCCAGGTAGACTGGAGGCAGCCTAGATGAAGACTAGACGTAGACTAGAAGAACTAGGGGTAGACTAGAGGTAGAGTACAAGTGTTGCGTCTTGCGATTCTGCTTGTGTTTTGCGGGTCATTGTTGGCAGATCGCATTGGAATTGCTACATCATAGATCGATTTGAATGTTAGGACTTGCACGAAACATTGCATTTTTTCGGGTAAACGGAGGTTCCGTTGCGGAGAAAAGTTGGCTCGCGCGCACGACGGTCTTAGGCGCCGCCGCTTTGCCGCCGAATCCGGCTCGATTTGCGCGCGCAGTGGAACTGAGGGATCCAGGTGGCTTTTTCTCTTCTTTGTTGACGCTGTGCTTTTGTGTTTTGCATCAAAGCGACGTGTTCTGCAGTAGTGTGTTGCAAGTCTATTGTGCTGTGCAATTCAGTTTGTGCAGATCGCAGTGGAATGGCTGCGCCAAAGCTTCTGGGAGGGTACTGGTTCTCCAGTACTGTCTTGCGATTCTGCTTTTGTGTTTTGCAGGTCATTGTTGGCGGATCGCATTGGAAGTGCTACATCATAGATGCGATTTGAATGTTAGGATTTGCACGAAACATTGCGTTTTTTTCGGGTAAACGGATGTTCCGTTGCAGAGAAGTTGGCTCGCGCGCACGACGGTCTTAGGCGCCGCCGCTTTGCCGCCGAATCCGGCTCGATTTGCGCGCGCAGTGGAACTGAGGGATCCAGGTGGCTTTTTCTCTTCTTTGTTGACGCTGTGCTTTTGTGTTTTGCATCAAAGCGACGTGTTCTGCAGTAGTGTGTTGCAAGTCTATTGTGCTGTGCAATTCAGTTTGTGCAGATCGCAGTGGAATGGCTGCGCCAAAGCTTCTGGGAGGGTACTGGTTCTCCAGTACTGTCTTGCGATTCTGCTTTTGTGTTTTGCAGGTCGTTGTTGGCGGATCGCATTGGAATTGCTACATCATAGATGCGATTTGAATGTTAGGATTTGCACGAAACATTGCGTTTTTTCGGGTAGACGGATGTTCCGTTGCAGAGAAAGTTGGCTCGCGCGCACGACGGTCTTAGGCGTCGCCGCTTTGCCGCCGAATCCGGCTCGATTTGCGCGCGCAGTGGAACTGAGGGCTGCAGGTGGCTTTTTCTCTTCTTTGTTGACGCTGTGCTTTTGTGTTTTGCATGTGTTGCGACACTTTGTGCATTGGAACTGGTGCATCAAAGCGATGAGTTCTACAGTAGTGTGTGGCAATTCTATAGTGTTGCACAATTCAGTCTGTGCAGATCGGAGTGGAATGGCTGCATCAAGGTTCCTCGCTGCTGCGGCTGCGTGCGGAATATTTTTGCGTTTTTGCAGTTGAAAGTCAGAAATTGTATTGTAGTGGCTGCATGAAAGTTGCGAATGGTGCTTTGGCAGATGTTTTTTCATTTTGGCGCTGATGATTTTCCTTTTATTTTATTTTTTTAAAGTGCTTCAACATCGTGGTTTTTCCGCTTGGGCGTCGAGATCCGCTTTTGGAGCTGCAAATTGTCTAGCCGTTGCGCGTAATTCTATAGTGCTTTGCAACTCAGCGTCTGCAGATCGCAGTGGGGCGTCACGGTTCCTCGCTGCTGCGGCTGCTTGCGGAATACCATTGTTCCCCACATCTTTGTGTGGGGTTCTTGGTTTTGGTTGTGCACTCCCGCCTGCCTCCTTCTCCTCCCGCCCCCTCCCGCCGCCTCCCGCCGCCTCCTGCCGCCTCCCGCCGCCTCCCGCCGCCTCCCTCACACCCAGCTTGCTCACACCCAACTTACTCACACCCAACTTACACACACAACTTGTCCACACACAACTTGCTCACACACAACTTACTCACACACAACTTGCTCACACACAACTTGCTCACACCCAGCTTGCTCACACCCAACTTACTCACACCCAACTTACACAACTTGTCTACATACACAACTTACCCACACACAACTTACCCACACACAACTTGCTCACACACAACTTGCTCACACCCAACTGACACACACACACACAACTTGCTCACACCCAAGTTGCTCACACCCAACTTGCTCACACGCAACTTGTTCACACACGACTTACTCACACACACACACACAACGTGCTCACACACACAACGTGCTCACACACACAACTTGCTCACACCCAACTTGGTCACACGCAACTTGTTCACACACACACACACAACTTGTTCACACACAACTTGTCCACACACAGCTTGTTCACACACCACTTGCTCACATACAACTTGGCGACATCGACCTTCACTTTGTGTGGCAGGCATGGCACTTGGCGACATCGACGTGCATTCTGCGTGGCAGGCGTGGCACTTATGGCACTGGGCTGGCTCTGGTGGCGCGCTTGGGTCCCGTTTGGCGCTGTTGTCGCCGCGGCTGTTTGTCTGGCAGGCATGGCACTTGGCGACATCGGCCTTCACTTTGTGTGGCAGGCGTGGCACTTGGCGACATCGACGTGCATTCTGCATGGCAGGCGTGGCACTTATGGCACTGGGCTGGCTCTGGTGGCGCGCTTGGGTCCCATTTGGCGCCGTTGTCGTTCCGCTCACGCTCATTTTGGCATGTTTAAGTCACCTTCCCGGAGGCCCGGAGACCTTGTGCAAGCTGGATTGCTGTGGCGACATTTTGGAAGTGTAGCAGAAAGAAGCAAGGAAGAAGAGCGCACGGCTCCGCTGCCTGCCTTTGCCACGCCTCGCTGCACTCCGGTGACGCGCACAGCTGTGCTGCTTGCGCATCCTTGTTCGTTTCGCCTTTCGGGCAGCAGGACTCAAAGACGCGTGCGGCTGTGCTGTTCACGCGCGCTCTTGACAGGTGGCTGCTCGTGACATCACAGCTCTTCGCGCGCGTGGAAAAATGCTGCGGCCCAAGCGTGCTTGAACGTTGGACCCACTGTTAACAGCCAACAGTCCAGTGGGATTGAATGATAGTACATGACACGAGAATGATAACACATGATAGCACAATCAAGTGGGGTGATGTGGGAAGTGCGGAGCGTGGAGCGCATAGTGTGGAGTGCGAAGTGTACAGTGCGGAGTGTGGATTGTGAAGTGTGGTGTGTGGCGTGTGGTGTATAGTGCATGGAGTCTGGAGTGTGAAGTGCGGAGTGGAAAGTGTGAAGTGTGGAATCTGGAGTGTGAAGTGTGAAGTGTGAAGTGTGGAGTGGAAAGTGTAAAGTTATGAGTGTGGAGTGTGGAGCAGATAGTGTTTTCTAAAAGCGTTTCTAAATGCGCCTGTTTCTGCCTGTTGTTTGAAAAAATGCATTCGGGTTCATGGTGCCTGCCAGGTTTTTAAGTTTTCGACCATTCAAGTCACCCCTTCTCAGGCTGCCCTAGGTTTCTCAAGTCAAACCTTGCGTGCGTTCACCCGTGCGTGAAGTAATTCCCTACTGTGCATCCTGTCTCGCTAAACTACTGCGCAGATATTCGCGCGGCAGGCCTGCCAATTGGCCAACTCTGAAACTCTATTTTCTGACAGTTGGACACCTTGCGCATAGTTTGGACTGGTTTCTCACTACATCTAAACCTGCCAAAGACCACTGTTGATTGGAAGCACTGACGTTTAGATGACCGTCCACCTGCAGACTCTTAGGAAATAGTTTCTGCTTCTCATCAAAGCAATCTTAGGCGCACAAATGCATCAGTAGGAACATCAAGGCCGGTCATCAGATGTAAGGATAAGGAGCCAAAATGGGGATCCACTGACGGCCGACTTGATATGTATGTATGTGTGTATATAGTATGTATATTTACACATATACGTACGTATATACATGTGTGTGTGTACGTGCTATACCATGTGTATATATATATATTTAAATGCTGCATGCACATTATACGTTACACACACACAGACACAAACACATGTATTGAACTTTGGACGAAGCTCATCCCTCATATCTTTCCAGATGACTCTGTCTTTGAGGCAGGAGCACCATCACGTGGCAAGTTGCAAGGCTTAGCGTTGCAAGGCTCAGCGCTTTGTTTTAGTTTGAGGCCAGGGCCCTGAACTCTGGGTCATCTGGGTGCTGGACATGTGCGACTTGGAAAGCCGGCTGCGCTGTCGAGAGGATACCTTCTGACGGAGATGTTGTCGTCAATGTGAGCCCTTTGACCGATTGCCACCCTCGCGTTCAGGCCACATGGTTGCTGCCACACGGTCGCTGATTTTGTGAGTGCATGAACATTGCTTGCCCGGCAGTAGGCTAGTCAATTTGGGAAGAAGACGCTGCTTCAGCAACATTTGCAAGGGCCCGACACCTAGTTGATGTTTATGCGAGTTAAATCAAGAGCATTGGATTTGCGGCAGAGCTTCCAAGACTTGCAAAGACGAAATCCACACAACGCTCTCCGAGGGTTAGACTCAGGGTTTCATGTTTCGCCCCTGGTTCATTCTCAGATTCAGATTATCAGCTTAAATGCGCGGATATGTGGAAACAGATATGACCTTCGCATTGCAGTTGTAATCCAGGATGTATGATAGAACGCGATGAAAATCTTCTTTGTCAACACCCTTGTACTTGCAGGTTCATTTCAGACAAAATGGAAGTTCTGGCTGGGCTTTTGACTCTTGAGGCAGTGTACTTGGCAAGGAAAGTTTCAAAGTTGTCATATGGAGTATTTTTTGACTGCTACATGGTATGACTGCAAAGGGTAACTATGCAAATATGTCTCCAGCTCCCAAGAGAACATGCAGGTCAGCGTCGAAGAACGAGGAGAGTGTCAGGTCGACCGCGGGCAAAAACAAGTTTCTGGTCAGCTTCGGGACTTTTCCATGATAATTTCAGGGTTCTGTGTTCTGGATAGCCTTGCAGAGTGTTTTTGCTGGAGATGCCAACTTGTAGGTATTTGAACGATTTTCCAAGCTGAAGAGATGTTTTGTCCTCCTGGAAGTTGGTCTTCCTTTTGCCCTTCAGTGAGTTCAGCTGTCAATGCCCTGTCAGTTTGATGTTCGGGCCAGCAGCTAAGACGTGCTCAGATTTAGAGGGCGTCCCAAAGTTCAACTGAAGAGAGATTCGGAAATACCGTGAAATATTCGACGATGAGATGCCATTCTTGATGTGCCAAAGGCTAACATTTTGGACAAATCTGAGCCGAGCCACCTAAGCTCTATCCTGAATTTGCTGCGCAGAAGGTTGTTTGATGCAATTCAGAGACCACAAAAGGATATAAAAGAAAAGGTTGTTGGGTTTTGTGGGGCCTGATTCCGTTGCAATTTGAGATTGAAGGAAGGGTGGTGACTGATCTCCAGTGAGCTGTGACGTGGCACCGTCTGCATAGTCTACATAAGTGCACGTCTCACTTACTCAAATATTATTGCAAAACCGTCAGCTTGGGCGAAGTTGTCATGTCAAGTTCCAAGCTTTGGATCAAAGTCCACGTTGCACAACTTCCTCGCTCACGCTTCTAGGTCAAAGTTACAGACCGTAAATTGTGTGAGAATGATTGGCTTGATCGTGAGATATTTTCTTGGTAGCAGGTTGGAAGTGTCCCAGCAGCTTGCACTCGTTCGAATTCTCTCATGGTTTGTTCAGAACTGTCAAAGGTCAATTTCACTCCACGGCATGGCCCTTACAACATCGCGCGCAGAAGAACTCATCCATCGGTCGATACAGAACAGGCGTACGGTTGCTTGCGGTGAGGCGATTACACTGGGCGATTCCATCTTTTCCAGCACGACAAGTGCCTTTTGGCTCGCTTTCATTGGGCTGGCACCTTCTGATCGTATGTAGATATTTGAAGGCGATAGACGTGATAGATGCACAGTTCTGGTGTGAGTTTTCCAGGAACTGCTTTCTTCAGCCTTTCCAAGCAAGCTGCTGGGAGCATTGAGTCGGCAGAGGCTCAAATTTTTTTTGGAGTTTCTGTCAAGCGAGTCAAGCTCCAAAAGATTCTGTAACCGCGGGCCAAGCTGCTGGAACTGTGACAGCAGGTATCTTGCATTGAAGATTCGAACATGTTGGTGCTGCAAACCATGCTCTCATTCCCTTTCAAATCACCCTGTAAAGGCCTTAAGGCCACAAGTGCAGCATGCTTTGTAAACAGCTGCAAAACAACGCAACGCCACTTTTCCTGTACAGTTCAACCGAACACTTTTGTTACAGCCTTTGCCTGCGCCACACTTTTCCTTCATGTTGTTTTTTCCCGAGAGCGTTTGAGCGCAGGGTTCTTCCAATAGTGGGGCGGGTCTGTATCTCATCTTCACATCTTCACATCTTCGCATCTTCTCATCCTCACATCTTCTCATCTTCACATCTTCTCATCTTCACATCTTCACATCTTCTCATCTTCACATCTTCTCATCTTCACATCTGCTCATCTTCACATCTTCACATCCTCACATCTTCACATCTGCTCATCTTCACATCCTCACATCTTCACATCTCCTCATCTTCACATCTTCTCATCTTCACATCTTCTCATCTTCACATCCTCACATCTCCACATCTTCTCATCTTCACATCCTCACATCTTCACATCTGCTCATCCTCACATCTTCTCATCTTCACATCTGCTCATCTTCACATACATCTGCTCATCTCCACATCCTCACATCTTCACATCTTCTCCTCTTGTCCTCTTGCCCTCTCCTTCTTTTCTATTTCTCTCTTGAAGGCGCGGGGCAGTGCCAACGAGACGGCACGAAACGCAGCCCTTCCGCACGAAATGAGGTTCGATCGCCAAAAACTGCAAAAATTGCGATTTCAACTTGTCCCGCGCAACCCTTTCGCACGAAATGAGGTTCGATCGCCAAAAAGTGAGGTAAAATTGCGATTTACAAGTCGTCCCGCGCAACCCTTTCGCACGAAATGAGGTTCGATCGCCAAAAACTGAGGTAAAATTGCGATTTTCGTGTTTCCGGTGAACACTTTCGCACGAAATGAGGTTCGATCGCCAAAAACTGAGGTGAAATTGCGATTTACAAGTCGTCCCGCGCAACGCGTTTGCACGAAATGAGGTTCGATCGCCAAAAACTGAGGTAAAATTATGTAAATTGCGATTTCCGGGTTCCCGTCACAACCCTTTCGCACGAAAGGAGGTTCGGTCACCAAAAACTGAGGTAAAATTGCCATGTCCAAGTTGCCCGGCGAAGTGTGTAAAAGCAACTGTGTGTAAAAGCGTCTGTGTGTAAAAGATCCTCCTCTGTACTACCAGTTTTTTTTCCTGGGGGTTCAGTACGCTTTTTAAAAAACACTATTTTCCAAAAATCTAGCAGACAGTGGGTGAGGGCCCCGGGGCATGATATGGGATGCATTCTGTGGATGATCTTCAAAGGCTGGCCCCACAGGAAAAAAATCGCATCACCAGGTCAACCATCCATAGATAGGAAATGATGGGACAAATTGAAGAATTTTGTTCCAACGCGTGGCCAAATTGCAAAACAGGCGTTTTTTCCTGAAGATACATTTGTCCAAGCAAAAGGGTTGCGCATTGCCGTGGGCATCTGCCGGACCGCACTCGTGAAGCCGTGGACTCTGAAAAACTGCGAGCTGTCAGCCGGGAAGTCAGGTGCCAGGAATTCATTTTTTTCCGTATCAGATTGAGGGAGTGAAGATATGGCATGTTACCAACGCAAGCATCCAGGAAATATTTTTTTTACTTGGATATCAGAGGGGTAAATTTATTGGATGTTGGACGTTGGGCACCAGGAAATTAGCAAAGAAAATTCAAAAAGGTGGTTGGACGTGAGATTTCGGCTTCAGAGGTTAGGAGCCAGGAATTTAAAGCTCTAAAACCTCTCTCAAAGGTTAGGGGTCATCATTTTAGACCAATTTTTTTCTAGGACTGTACCCCACGTTGGAGTACAGACGGGGATTAAAAGCGTCTGTCTCTCTAAAGTTCTGTGCGTGAAGAAACTATACGAAAGATACGATGCAAACTATTGTCGTGTGTTTGTGATATATTGTCTTGATACTACTCTTCTCGTCTGCCTATTATACATCTTTAATATATTGTCTTCTAATATAGTGTTTCCATACTAACAACAGAAGACTCTGCTCCTCTACGCTCTTGGGCCCTCCGTCGTCTAGTTGAATGAATTCAAGTGTCAAGTTCTCACTTTTTTCCTCACATGTTCTCGGGCCTTGCCAGCTTCTCGCATTGGTGTGACACATCGAGACAGAGACAGACAGGCAGACAGACAGACAGACAGAGAGAGAGAGAGAGAGAACATCCAGACAAATAGTACAGGTTGTAAAGTACATCAAGTGAGAACAGAATGGGTCCAGACGCAAACAATTTGCTGCATAGGCATAGACCGTTCTTCACAGGGTGCGTTCTTGGAACCCCCGCTTATATCCGCATGTCTGGAGACAGAACCAATTAAGGTTGGCCTTGTGGAAGTACTGATCTCACAGCATGTCAGACTCGTAAATTAAATCAAATTGAAGGAAGCATCGTTGCAACATGAAGACCCGCTGTAAGTATGCGATTAACAAATTATACAGTGCGTTTTGGATAATCGCATTTGACCCTAGCCGCCCTTGGTCTATATGACTCTGACTCTACCTACTGGTTTCTGTCGGGTAGGCTCAAATGCGACGGGCGTGTTTTTGTGTAGTATTGTCACAACTACCCCAATTTTGTCTCTTTAGATTCTGATCAAGTGGAAATGATCTATCGTCGTCTGAACTATCTTCCAAGAAACTCTTGAAAAACATGCTGAGGGTCCAGGGTGTGAATATATCACAGTGCTTGGCAGGTGCAGTATGTCGACGTATGTTGAGTAGCTGTTTATGTAGTTAAAAGGTGCCTGCGAATATATATATATATATATATACATACATACATACATACACATACACCTACACCTACACATACACATACACATACATACACATACGCATACACATACACATACACATACAGATACATATACATATACATATGCGTGTCGGCGGTTTGCAGGACGGGTTGCAGGGCGGTTTGCAGGGTGCCAGCGATCCTTGTCGACATTAGCAGAAACTGTCGGGTTTCAGTTCCTGGAGCTGAGGGTGCAACAACTCCACCCTACCCCACCCATCTAAAAGAATCCTGCGCGTAAGAGGGTCCTTGCGGGGTACGGTCACATGTGAACGAAAGAACGTGTCTTTTTTGACTTTCTCTTGCCCTGGAGAGTGTAGATACAAACGGGGTAGGGTCATATTGCGTGATATGGTGACTTGTTT